AATCCATTCGTCGTGTAAAAGAAGTTAACAAAATAAAAAGAAAAGGTCAGATAATCAATAGTAGTCAATAAAAAAGTATTTATTTATAAATTTCGTTTAGAAAATAATTTACCTACAAAAAAGGTTTGAAAATAAATTGTTAACTCCGATATAAAAACAATTTATCGTCAATATCGTACAATTTTTCTTTTTCAATTGAATTCATGAAATTCATTAGTAAGTATCTCGACACATATCACCTCCGCAAGCAACCAAGGCCTGACTTCCTGTGTTTGTAACAAAGATTTGTAATGCCGCGCTTACTTGAGCCGTATAGTCCTGGAGTGGTCGTGGTTATACCGTAATTAGCATTAGCTGCATTAGCATTAGCACCCTTATATACTTAAGTAACTTTTAAGTAAGTTTTGTACTTGCACTAGTGAATTTCTTCAAAACGAAAAGGCGAAAAGGGTACTGTTTAGTTCATAAAGTTCAAAACCAGCCGTGCGAGATGACGCTGATTGTAACTGGGAGAAGATGCAGGATCAGATGATAACAACGAGATCAACAATATCAACATATGATGAATTTTCCAAACGAATTCCACGAACTATACGAATCCCGCGCGGTGACGAGGAGGGAGCAGGGAGAACAAGGCTTCGTGTCTTTTACCAGTTTTGCCGCCTTGCGTGCAGTGCTAAAAAAAATTTGTCTTTTGTCAGACGCGTGACGCTTGAGTTTCCAACACTAAACAAACAGATTATCATTACAAGTAAGTAGCCAATGGTCATAATAATCATTTAACAAATCAAAGTGGTTTTCTTGATAGTTCAAGCCTTAATTTAATCTTATCACACGCTCGCCGAATATCAAATAAGAGAGGTTAGAGTTTTGACCCCATTTACAATGGATACCTGAACGATTTTTTTCTTTCTCGATGTAACAAAAACAAATCATGATTGTATACTCAATTTTGTAATTTTTCCTTTGTATCCCCATGTTGGATTTATTACCTGTCATTTTGATTTTTGCAACGTAATAAACTTGAATTTTTTTCTTCATACTTACGCTTGTTTGCAGGTAATTCTTAGAATTTTCTGCAGAAATGCCTAAGTCAAAGGAAACTATCTCTGATAGTGAAAGCGTCAGCGACAGCGGCAGTGAGGTAATAATTTACGATGTGACTATTCACACTAAAATTCGCTTAGGTATACGTAATGTGCGTACACTTACGTGTCTATCATTTAGATGAAGAGCTATTAAATGATTTAACAACTGTTATGATTTAAGTAAACTATTGACAGTATAATTTTTTATTTTTTTATTTTAGGAAGAAGTGAAGTCAAAGCCGAAGGGTAAGCCACAGAAGGTCGAGAAAAAAAAGAAACAGAGCAGCTCTGAAGCTTCAAGTGACGTAAGTCTAATTGTAACGCTTACTTAGTAATAACTTTTATTATTGACATCAAACAGTTGTCGAATAGCTATTGACTTTCCTATTTTTAAGCGCTCTAGAATTTAATTCAATTTAAATAATTACTTCTTTTAGTCCGAGGAAGATTCAAAGTCCAAAAAGAGGCAAAAGAAAAGTGCTGACAAGGGAAATGCCAAGAAAAAGCCGAAAAAGAGCGATGACGAGGAAGAAGATGTGTGGGAATTAGGGGGCAATAAACGAGTCGCAGTTCGAGCCTTCAAAGGAAAGTGGTTTGTTGATATCAGAGAGATGTATGAAAAAGATGGAAAAACGTTACCTGGCAAAAAAGGTATTAAAATGAGACTTGGATACTATCAACAGTGAAGTGTACGGTTTTACAATAAAAACCTTTTTTTGTTTCAGGAATCGCTCTAAACTTTGAAAATTGGAGAGAACTCTTTAAAGTTGCGGATGAGATAAATAACTGCGTGAAATCTAAGTAGGATTTAAATAATGTGATCATTAATATATGTTAAAATGGACCATAATTTTTAAGGATGTTCTTTGTATATCTTTTTGTAAATGAACAATTTTAAATGAATAAACACATTTTCTAATACAAAGGACTTAAATTTATTTTTACATCTTCATTATACATTTTTAATAGGTTATCAAAATACTTTGAAAATTCTGCTAATAAAAAAACATTGTTGTAATTTCAACATCTATACATATTTTTTTTACAAAAATATTTTTATCAAATATGACATCAGGATAACTATATTTACAAAACTATTTACAGCAGTCGTTGATAAACATGACTGCAAAAATACTTACGGTATGCATTAACAATAATATTATTTAAGTCTGTAGTGCTATTTTTCTTTTACATGTACAGACTTTAAAAATTCATCTATTTTTACTTTCTTCAATAAAAACAGAGGATCTGGTTTTGTTTTACTATCCACCTGAAAAGTGTCCAATAATTGTACTCGTATCAAAATCTTTAAATGATGTAGAAACGTACCTTTTCATCTTCTGCCACATCTACTGCTTTTCTTTTGCAAGATTTTGTTTTTCTATCTTCGGAAGTCTTATTACTTGTAGATGTTTTTAATGGTGAAGAAGTTGCTAAAGGAACTTCGAAATTTTTACTATTCTTTTTGCTAGTCTTTGCTAGTGATTTTTTAGAACTCTGCACTGTCTTTTTTGACTTTGATGACGGATCTAGATTAAAAATTTCTTCAAGAGGCATCAAATTGAGAACGTAATCATCGCCATCAGACTGAAATATATATTCGCTTTGCAACTCTGAACTACTGTAATTACGTCGACGCTTTTTAATAGGTATCGATTCATCATATTTTAACATTATATCTAGCTTATTCCTGCCACTAGTATTGAACATTTCTTCTTCAATCTCTTCACTGAGATCGTGAATTTCAACATCGCTTTTGTTTGCAGGTATAAGCTGTAAGCATTCAAGTAATTTGGAGTTGTCGTTGTTTGAATTTTCCTCATTACTCCTTTGACTCTCAGACAATGTCACGGATAGTCGAGTTGATTGTGATCGCGTTGTCCGCTGTTCGCTATTCTCATCGTCACTGAATAGATCGCGTTTAACCAGATCGACTTTTGCTTTTGATATACCTTTGAAATTTTCTGCCGGTATCACTATTGATTCTTTGACAACGTTTTCCTTTTTAGAATTTTTTTTTGAGCTATCCTGGTTGATATTATTTTTAACCTGATTATTATCGGTTGGATTCGAAATCTGATAAGATTTCTTCCGCGGGCTTGACCGACACACAACTCTCTGATTTTCTTTCGAATCTGCTTCATTAGCTTTCTGTGTGGCTCTAACACTTCGAGTGACCATAGTTTTTTCTTCCCTGCTTACAACTTTTTCTTCTTTCTTCATCACTGTTTTTACTTCTTTCTTGATTATTGATTTTTCTTCTTTTTTCTCAACACTATCTTCTTCCTTGCCCATTATTTTTCCCTCACTTGGCTTCTGTTCGCACGAGTTTCTCTCACTCTTAAGATTATCAGATGTCGATGATACTTTTTCCTGTTCGTCAATTCCGTTCATCACAGTTGCAATAGCCTTTCTCTGCTTTTTTTCATCCGATAGTCTTCTTGGCTGAGCAGCTACCTTAGCATTTCCGACTTCTTTAAATTTGGCCAACACTCTTAGACGTTTCTGCTCCAACTGTTGGCCGAGTATCGTATCTGCGCTTAAACTTACCTGTTGGTGTCGCGCTAAAGTAGATACTAAAGTCTCCTGCGATTGTAATATCTTTGACACTTGGATCGTAATTCCGTCAGTCGGCGCTATTCTTTCGATCTTGATAATTTTGGGTTTGACCACGTTCAATATTTTGTTTGTAGCGGGCGGCTCTGCGGTACTTTGAGAAGGTGAAGCCAAGAGGGCAATTTCTGCTGAAATTTTAGAATTCAAATTTGTAATGGAATCACGTCGCTGTGCACGCTCTGCTTCCGATACACTTGGCGTTTCAAATATTACAGCCTCGGCAATCTCATCTTTAGCTGGTGTTTCTTGGTCAGTCTTTTCTTCAGAATGTTTCATTACTGAAAATACCTTTTTAGGAGAGCTGTTATTCTCCTCAAGATTCGAGGTTTCTTCGTGATTGATTTCTGTGAGTATTTGTATTGGCTTTGAAGGGCTACCTTTCGAAATATCAAGGACTGATTCTTTAAGCTCATCTCGAGTATCGAAAATTTCAGATTTTACCACGGACGAATCGCTGCTTGAAAGGCTTGATGAACTTGATGATGTGGTTGAAGATGAGGAAGAAGATGAGGATGAGCATGAACTGTCAGAAGACGATTCATTATCACTGTCCGAGTATGAGTTTACGCTAGTGTTGGCATCTTCAGCTTCTGCAGACTCTTTTGAAGTGCCTTTAGAAGTGTCGTTTGACATATCGTTTGATGTGTCTTTGGACTCAAGTGTAGTGTCTTCGGTAGCTTGTTCTTCTTCTTTGAGTGTTTCTTTATTTCTCTCTACAACCCCGAATTGTGTTATTTCGATAGCTTTGTGTTCGGGAAGTTCTACAACACTTTTTCGTACATTTATAGTAGACGTTGTTTCTTGTACCTAAGAAAAAAACATCACACTTTAGTACACATACAAAAAAAATGTTGAATGTTAAAAAAATTTTTTTACCATCATTTTCTGCGTTTCAGCGACTTCCTTCATAATCTCCTCCGATGGTTCAAAATACGGCGAGGAATGTTTCTTGGTATCTTCCTCAATGAATTTTGGTGTGACTACAATGCACGGTGTGACCGGAAATTCTGGCGTTTCCACAGAGCCCTTGATAGTAATGTCAATTTTCGCACCAGCCGACTTTCTTAAACTTTGGGCTGGAGTAGCGAAAACTTGTGGTGTCGGTGGTATGTAATTCGTTATTTCGGTTTTACGCGGAGTTTCGAGATCTAATAGTTGGGACGCAATACACAATGAATCTAACGAGTTTTTTGAAATTAGCGTTTTATTAATAGATGAATCGTAATCGATAGAATTTTGTTCTGATTTTTTCACAGACTGCAGTGGAGTGACATTAAGGTTTGAATTAGTTAATACTTTACATTTAAGCGCGGACGGCGTTCCGACTTTTTGATCGACAGATTTCTCTTTTTTTGTAACACTTGACACACCTTCGGTCTCGTCTTTTAGTTCATTATTTTCAGTATCTACACTCTCTAACATATATTTTGTAACATTGTCTTTTTTTTTAACATTAATACTTGTAATCACATCATGTTTCAAGTCCTTTTTTTTAACATTAATACTTGTAATCACATCATGTTTCAAGTCCTTTTTTTTAACACTATCACTATTTTCAGAGTCTTTTTCTGGCACCTTTTTGTCCTCGAATTGGTCTTTCGACGTGACCTTGACAGATAAATTTCTTTTCTGTCTTTGGCTCTTACCATTACTTTTTATTTTCTCCTCTTCTTCTTCGTCAGCCGAGCTACCGACGATTCTCCTCAGATCGCTATCCCAGCTCTTGTGCAGACCGTTACTCTCCACCTTCACTTCAGCGGACTTGGATGCAAGGGCGGGAGACGGCGGTGCAGGATAATCTGGCTGTGATTTTTCAGGCGAACTCTCGCCCGTCGAAGACTCGTTGAGGATCATACCAATGCCTGCCACTTTGTTCCAGTTTCCGCGAAGCTTTTGCATGGGGCTCCTCGTGGCGATTGGCACTTGCATCAAGGCGACCCGCGTCGAGGACTTGGTAGGCGCCAGCGTTCTTACCTTTTTCGTGGCCACATGGAGTTGAGCCATGGCCGGGGCATCCTCTTTTTCGTAGACTGGAGATTTGAACAGAGCCCCTCTACAGACGGAAGGTTTAATGCACGATTGGCTACCTTTGTTCGTAATTAAAGTTTGCTTGACAGGCGTGCCAAAGTCGAGGGCTCGGACGTGACTGTTGCGACGTCGTGGTGTCGAGAGACTGAGCCGGTTGTTCTCGGAGCGAGATCTCAGCAGAGTGTTTGGTGTACGCTTGGCTATGATTTCGTCGCACTTAAGTTTCGCGCTTGCATCCGACTGCACAACCGGTTCAGGCTCGTCCGACACAATGACTGACTTACCAAGATCGGTGTTCTCCTCTGTTATCTCGGCAACTTTATCTTCCGTGATAACTGATTTCTTGTCTTTTGATTGCTCCGTACTATTTTCACCTTCAAGAACGATAATGCCGACAGTTTCAGTTTCCGCACTGGTTGGGACAGTCGCGCCCTTAAAAGCGGAGGAGAATCTCAGGCCGGACATTGGCGAACTGTCTAGACTTATTATCGGCATGTCCTCGATCGATTGAATCATCGTCGCTGGTGTATTATTGCTTTCTTGAGCGCCGTAAAGCGTGATCGAATCACTGGTAGGAGGTGGTGGTTCTAGTTGCTCATCGATTTGCACACCGATTGGCATGATTGGAACATCATTGCTGGGTTTTGAACAGATCGGTTGATATTCTTGGAGAGCCTTTTGGACAAGTGTGTTCGACATTTTTGATAGTTCGATTTGTTCAGGTTTAACGAGACGACGAGGTACATTGACAACGCGATAAGAAAGCGTTGGTAATTCTGCGAGTTCCAATTGCGGTGGAGGTTGGCCTTCCTTTGTTGCGATTGACACGTACTTTCCTGAAATTATTATTTTATTTTTCTTTTAGCACGAATTCATTTATCATAAAAATTTTATATACATACTTTTAGGTTTCAACGGTTCTGTGCATAGCACGACAGTGGGAACGATATCCTCAACATCGAGTTCTTTTTTACTTTCTATTTTTGAAGATTTTTTTGTCCTCTGTTTTGGCTTTTTCGCAATAGTTTTGTTCGATTTAGTAGTTTTAGTGGCATTTTTAGTGATTTTTGGTTCAGCAGGTGCATTTTCGATAATAACATTTTCCTTGGCAGCTTCACCTTCATTTGTTTCAATGTCATATTCTTCAAAGGGTGGTTCACTGTCTGTTAGAGAATTCCTTTTGTAGTTGATAACATTCATGATATTCATCACTGCTTCTGCATTTTGATTATCCAGCAAAGCATTGTTTTCCTCTCTGCAATCACAAAATTGTAAATTAAACAACTATAGAGACTTTTTATAAATTTAATTAATAAGAATTTAGAAGTATTAAATTCTTACTCCTCTCCATGAACGTTATAAGACTTTGACGAGCTGCGCAGTCTTTGTTTAATCGGTATCTCGAAATTATTGAACTGTTGATGATAATTTTGCATTAGATTAGCAGTATCTTGTACATCAATATCCATTGGTTCTGATACCGGATCATCTCTTGTAACAGGAATTTCTCCTATTGGAGGATTTTGGTCCTTGACATCAAATATCTCCTGTATGAACCCTTCAAGATCTAGTTCTGTGGCTTCAACTGCTGTCTTAATGACATTATCTAAATCACACAATTTAGATTTATTTAAGTCTGTCAAACTTAAATTCGCGTTATCTCCGTGAAAAGATAATTCCATGGGTAAAATAGCATTATTGATGTTTTCAGCAATCCGTTGCTGCAGCTCCGTTCTATTCATAAGTTCTTGGGTTATAATCTATAAATTACAAAAAAAACGTTATCTAATTTTTTCTTTCAGACTGAATCTCAACTTTTTTTTTCAAACTTACACTTAAATTCTCGATTGGTTCGGTAACTTCAGACTCCATTTCGTTAAAGTCAAGCCCAGTTTGCACTTCAGTACAACAATAACTCATCAACTCTTCCGTACTTGTCCCTGCTGTACACTTGTTGACATTTTTTTCATAATCATTAGTTTGAATAGTTTCAGTTGCTTGATCTTTGTGATTAATATTTACAGTGTTAGAGCTTGATTCTTCGATATTTCCATCTGCACGCAAAATTAAAGATGTTTAAAAAAAATAACTGAAAAATTCGTAAAGTGTGTATATGGATGTAACAATAATACTTGCCTGAATTTACACTTAACGACTTAGAAGCTCTATTTTCTTCAACATTATTTACATTTACGTCATTCAATAACTGATCATTAGAAAACCTTTTATTTTCGGTATTATTTCGTTCTGTCGACAATTTTTGACATTCAAATTCATGAGATACCGTCTCACGTACATCACAATCTTCAAACAAAAATTTTTTATTTGGAAAATTCAAGTTCTTTAATGAAGAAATACACGAATAACTATCAAACAGAAATAAAAGAAGCACCTTGGTTTCCCTCAATCTGAGACGACTTGTCTATTAAAAAAGCGCTGAGAGATTTTGGAATACCCTTGCGACGTCCCTGACCACCGCTAAGTCGTTTCTTTGTACTACTTGACGTATTTGGACTATTGTACAATCCAGCTGATGAATTCTAAAATTTTACACAAAAAACAAATCAAGTAGACTAAACGTCAAAATTTACAAACCTGATATGCCTTTTGTGGAAAAAAAGAAAATACCTGTGACGAATAATTTATATTTACAACGAAACGTTTTTTTGATCCTTCCAAAAGATATCCTAGCTTCTCCAATATATCATCGCAGTGTTTGAACTGTTCCAAATCGTTTGTTTTGTTTAGTTTCTCTTGAACTGTTAAATAAAGTAAAGTAATTTAGTTAAAACGAGAGGAATGCAGTTGTTTCCACATAATTCATTTATATTAGAAATTACCCATCCCAACAGCAGCACAATACTTGTCTAAAATATCCACTAAACTGAAGCCCCCAACTTTTGTAGTATATCTGCCACCTCTTTGCGACACGATTCTACATTCTTTCAAGAGAGGCGACGTCTCCATAAATATTTTGGCTGCTTCATCGCACTTTTGTTCCTGCAGGTATCCTGAAATAAAATACCAGTGTCACTCATTAAAGCCTCCAAGAAGTCATGGTTCAAAAAAACCAATTTCAAAAAAAAAGACGATAATCTTTGATTGGGCCTATTTTAAAAAGTACTCACCAAGAACAAGCCTTGCAATTTCTGAGGGTAAGAGAGCATCCATGTTCCAGTTTTGTCCACTCTAGATTTTTACCTTTTTATACATATAAACAGTTATGCAAGATGACTGAAAATCCTAAGTTCCCGTCTTGTTTGAAACTTTGCTAGACACATTTAGTTGAACCTTTTACTTATAGCTTCCTTAAAGGAAAATTTTTAAACCTTATGAACTTGAGATTCACAGTTTCGTTGGTATTTTTATTTAAAGCCCAACAAGTGATATCATTATAATGTACTGCACCAGATACTTTGTATAATGACGCTTACAGTAAAAGGACGCGTTTTTATGCGCGTTTTGAATTAAAATTACTGAAAGTTTACATTGTTTACAGTTTGTTTGGTTTGAAGGGGGTTATTTCAGACTCCATCATCAGCCGTTACTCCTGCGGTAGACGGAATCGAAACGATTAACCACGTGATTGGGCTGTGGTTGGACAGAACGGAAGTGTTTCTGTACCCGTTCCGTGAGTTCAAAGTTATCAGAGGGGGGGGTGGAGAAATTTGAATTTAACAACATTTAAAAACTATATTTTTCGCTACTTCTGCAGACATTTTGCTTTTGAAAATATGTTTCTTTTTTTATTTATTTTTAATTCTCAATGAAGTAGCTTCCAGCTTCCACACGAAAGGCCATGAAATGATTCACTTGGCACAATTGCGAATGGCTTGATTGATAACGAAGAGCTCGCTACAACTACATACTTTATACGTACATATCAGAAGAAAATGTACAAATAAGTATAGATGAGTTCTTAACAATAATCATTCTATGAATGTCACTTGTTTAGGTTAAAGGTTAAAGGTAGGCTGTTGCTGCATTTTGGTTGCAATAAATAATATGCATTAACGTTTCGACAGCAGAAAAATCAGCCACTTTGCTTTCCATTTCTACTGCTCTATATATATTTTCTTCTATCTCACCTCTATTGTTCGTTTTTATTATGAGCTTTCTGATATACATACACGCAAGCATTACATAAAATTTCCTTTGTTGTATTATTTTAATCTTCTGTATGATGCTACCAAGTAAATACAACTTTTTTTGTCAATACTTGCTTGTAATCTTTGCATGTTTAAAAACATATCCACTCCCCACGTTTTCAAGTATCAGACTAGTTTTGTAAATAAAATGGTGGTCCACGACCTACGTAACTTTACAGCCTCTGATTTTATCATTCTGGTAAAGAGAGCACGGTGTAAGATGTACGTGAAGTTATATGTGTAGTAATTATAGTAATTATAGTAATTACTACTAAGTAATGCCATAAGGTCGATTTTGTTAAACCATATGAATGTCTGTGTTTTTGGAGGTCGACTTTTGGGTAAAAAATAGATTGTAAACTTGCCGCAAACAGCGCAGACCACGTTAACTTTTTATTATCTATCTAAAAAATTAGTTGCGGCTGGTTTATAATTGATTAAATGGCTCTAATATAAGAAGTAATAATTATTTGGATCAGCGCCATCTAGCGTTCCGAATTTCTGAACTAAAAAGTGGCCCTAAACTTTTGAACCAGAGCTTTAGCGCGTAGAGCCATTTAGTCAATTATAAACCAGCCGCAACTTATGATGAAGCTATAAAATGAATAAATTACGATACGTATGTTTTTGGCGGCAAGCTAACAATTTATCTTATGCTCGAAAATTTATCTTCAAAAGTATAAATACATAGTAGGTCGTGTTTTTGGCGGCAAGTTAACAGTCTATTTTCTACCAAAAAATCGACCTACTATGTGTTTAAACTTTTGAAGATAAATTTTCAAGCATAAGATAGATTGTTAGCTTGCCGCCAAAAACACATGTATTGTTATTTTTTTATTATATAGCTTCGTCATAAGTTGCGGCTGGTTTATAATTGACTAAATGGCTCTAATCCTGATTGCTCTGATTCAGAATTTTACAGTCACACGAAGAGTCTCCTAAGAATGGAGCATCGGATCTCACTTGATCAGAGAAGGTTGGGTTCTTTGTTTATTTATATTACTTAAAACTTACTTCTCTGTAATAAATGTATTTTTTATTTAGTGAGATCCGATGCTCCATTCTTAGGAGACTCTTCGTGTGACTGTGCTTCTTTTTCAGGCCTTTTTTCTTCGGTTGTCTCTTTTCGACTGATTAATTTGTGCTTACATGAGTTAATGGTAAAAGGTCTAGAGTATTGTAATTTTGTAAATATTGTCGATTTTATGAACCCTATAAGATAAGTAGAATATTTATGGTTTTGGAGGTCGATTTTAAGGTAAAAGATAAATTGTAAACTTGCCACAAGTAGCATTAAAAATGTCAACTATTTATTGTCTATTTATAAGATTATTTGCGGCTGGTTTATAACTAACAAAGTGACTTTACTGTAAATAGCAATAATTACTTGGATCAGCGCCATCTAGCGGTCTTTATTTTTTGGCCAAAAGTGGCTCCTAAAATTCTGAATCAGAGCAATCAGGATTAGAGCCATTTAATCAATTATAAACCAGCCGCAACTCTTGACGAAGCTACAAAATAAAAAAATAACGATACGTATGTTTTTGGCGGCAAGCTAACAATTTATCTTATGCTCGAAAATTTATCTTCAAAAGTATAAATACATAGTAGGTCGATTTTTTGGTAGAAAATAGACTGTTAACTTGCCGCCAAAAACACATTTATGGTTTTTTTTTCATTTTATAGCTTCATCATAAGTTGCGGCTGGTTTATAATTGACTAAATGGCTCTACGCGCTAAAGCTCTCGTTCAAAAGTTTAGGGCCACTTTTTAGTTCAGAAATTCGCAACGCTAGATGGCGCTAATCCAAATGATTATTACTTCTTATATTAGAGCCATTTAATCAATTATAAACCAGCCGCAACTAATTTTATAGATAGATAATAAAAAGTAAACGTGGTTTGCGCTGTTTGCGGCAAGTTTACAATCTATTTTTTATCCAAAAGTTGACCTCCAAAAACACAGACATTCATATGGTTTAATAAAATCGACCTTATGGCATTACTTAGTAGTAATTACTATAATTACTATAATTACTACACATATAACTTCACGTACATCTTACACCGTGCTCTCTTTACCAGAATGATAAAATCAGAGGCTGTAAAGTTACGTAGGTCGTGGTGGTAACGCCGCTATATACTATACTTACAGTACAGCCATGTAATTGATTATAAACCAGCCGCAACAATATGTAATCTTATGTCTTTTGGAACAATCGGAGCAGAGTAGCAGACCAGACAAACATATAGAAGACCTCAGTTGACGTTGACGCACACGAGAGTAAGCATCCATCACTGCTGCTGCAGTAACGTAACATACTGCAGGATTGTACTATATTGTTGTAGTTTGCTGGCTACTGCTTCTGTGTGGTTCTTTCTTATATACGCATATAAATGGGTGTATACTTACTTTGTACAAATAAAGGGACAAATAGATAAGGAACAGCATTACAGCAAGAGCAAGGGAAAGAAGAAAAACTATATATATATATATATATATCAGCTGCGTGCAGCAGTGTAGAACGAGACAAGTATATATATTATTTCCTTCACGGCGTGCCGAGCGTGTGCGCGTCTGATGGCTTTTATACGTTATAACGTTATTAAAAGAATAAAAACGGAGTCGCAGAAGTGGGAAGAGGAGGAGAACCAAAGCTAGTATACAGTAGCAGCAATACTTATCACCTTTTCTCCGTTTTTGCCAATATAGCAACGAGGAGTTTATTACCAAGGAAGTGGCAGCGGTGGCGGGACCACTGGAGGAGGTAGAATTGTATTGTATGTAATAGTAGTGTAACAGTGCGGTTCTTTTGCTGTTCGTTTCGGCTGTGCGCGCGTCTGCTCCCACGACCTTTTTATGCGCTTAGAAGAAGAGGTCGTTGTGGCAGCAGCAGGAACGACGTCGTCGTGTCCGGTGACAACAATAGCAGCATCGGTGACGAATCATCACCTGATACAATTACCAGGTCCCGACTTCTGTTGCTGCCTGGAGGATTACCCAACACGATGAGCTTCCTCTTGTAAGTGCAACACTTTACATCGTTTAATTTAATTATATTATCTCTCGGGAACCCAATTGTTCTTGTTAAATTGATGAACGATCAGTAAGGCACGTGCTTTGTGTTTTTAAGTATATTTTAATGCAAGCCATTGTCGTTGTTGTCATCATTACTCAACACACGTTAATATACTAATTATTTTATCATTACCATTGATAAGACAATCATCCATTGATAATAGCTTATTATTGCATTTGACGCTGAGACATGCGTGCATAGTGACGTCCAGTTTTTGTATTGAGACGACTAAAGTTTTTTTTTTTTTTTTTTTTTTTTTTCTTTCTTCGTAATGAGCAATATAATCAAGAAAAACAATCAAGACTTTCCCCTGTGTGCGTGAAAGCGAGGAAAATCATCGTATTATACATTATACAACGGTGTGTACGTGCTCTTCGAAGGGGAACGTGCGGATAGTACATAACGCAGTAATAATAATTGTTAGAAGCGATTTCTCCATAATTGGTGTACAGACATCACGTTTAGCTCAATCGACCTTCTCTCTCTCTTTTTTTTATTTTATACATAGGTATATATTGTACATGTGCAATGGTTAATGTATCTCACACTCTCTTTGATGCTCAAATCCGTCGTCGTCGTCGTCTGCGAAGGCGAGTCGAGCCTCCGCATATATACAGACTTTTTCTTCCGTCATTCTTTCTCTCTTCTCTATCTTACACATCAAAGTCTATAACTATATACCCACTCTGTCTCTCCTTACTTCCTTTTCCCTCTCGTTTCTTTTTTTTCTTTTTTTTTCTTTTTTTTTTTTTTTTTTTTCAACTCTTGCTCGCCGTCTTGCTTGCTCTGGGTTTCTTGACCTGGAGCACGCTAAGCATAGAAGCACACGGGGCTCTCTCTCTCTTTTTCTGCTCCAATGTGAATTATGTGCTCTTTTTTGCTTTCTCTCTCTCTCTCTCTCTTTCTGTTGCTTATTCTTTCTGTTGGTTCTTAGATGTGCGCCGCCTTTCAGTCTTGAGAAATGAAATGAAAAAAAATTGAAGAAAAAAAAAGAGAGGCTCAATACACACACCAAAATACCTGGATCTTTGTTTTTTCCAGGCTCCTTTTGCGCTTCCTTGCGTCGTTGGTCGCGGATTTCCTGTTGTTTCATTTCTTTGGGCTTGTATTACACACAATGCCTATTGCAGCTCAATCTCTTGCTTGCCCGTTGTATGTATATAGGTGCACCAATGTTAGCAAGCAAGCCTATGACTCAAGATTTTGCTTTCCTTGTTTATTTTTCTTTACCTACATTAGCTGCTACCGAAGTTTCATTGCTCCACATCGTAGCCTCCTGATGTATCTGGTTTCACCATTGAAATTCATTTCAACATTTTCGTTTCTTCTTTTCAAGAATTAAGCAGTTTCCAATAATTACTGTCGTGGGTGCAGAATTTTAATCATACACCCTCTTTTTTTATCCTAAAATACAGCATGACAATATTAATTGATGAGATAAAAACTAGTCAGAAAATATTGTACTTCAGAGTTGTGAATGAAACTCATGACGTTTCTCACTGATTCAATTGTCATTTTTATATTAACGATGAGTCAGGATTCACTTTCTCTTTCTGCCCTCTTAGTTTTCAAGCCTTACATACGTACCAAACGACTCTTTCACTTCCTGTACATGCATCACTTCTGATAAGAGAACTCATGTTAATTTCAGCAACGATGGAAAAAAAAATTTTTTCACGTGCATAATTACTTTATTCTTAAATGAATCACAAATTCAAGGGCATCCAAGATCGTAGGTAAAAATAAACTGTTTTGGATCGTGCAATGTTATGTAATTACTTAATGTTTATTTTTTAATATTTTTTATCTTGCTCCAAATCTACCAATGACCTGGAATTCTATTTATTTTTCTTCCCGGCGTCTTCGAGAACCAACGAAAAAAAGGGAGAAACAAAAAACAAGAAACGATAATCAAGCAGCCTACATGTACTTAATCACCAACATTTTTGCGTCCAAGTTAGTTACACTCTTCAGAAATATTGATAACCTTCTCTCCTCAACTATCTCCCCCCAGAGCTCGCATACTACACTTGTGTACTTACTCATGTGTACAGTACTTGGTGGGATCTCTCGTTTGCTCCGATAAAATCTCTTGCTCTCGGCCGCGCGTTCATCGTCGTCGTCATTACACATATCTTGTTGCTTAGTTGAGTAGCGTGAGTTTTGTGCGACAAAGACATGTTTGCAAAGATCCGCGAGTTGATAATTAATTGCCTGCACTATCGTTATTACATCCGCAATTACTTTTACAAGCGCAACAAGGGAAAATACTTGCTCGATGTGTAACATGTATCTGGTGACGCTGAAACGTTTGATTTTTCGCAGCGGAAGCCGTTCGTCAAAGACATTCAAGCCAAAGAAGAATATTCCAGAGGGCACTCACCAGTACGACCTAATGAAACATGCGGCGGCCACCCTGGGATCCGGCAATCTTCGGCTCGCTGTCATGCTCCCCGAAGGAGAGGACCTCAACGAATGGGTCGCCGTCAACAGTAAGCTATTGCCGATCTTCTACTCATATTTCCCTGTATCCATCGCGTGATATTAATAATTAAAAAAAAATTTTTTGCAGCCGTTGATTTTTTCAATCAAATAAATATGTTGTACGGAACGATAACAGAGTTCTGCACGGAAGACAGTTGTCCCATAATGTCAGCTGGACCGAAATACGAGTATCACTGGGCGGATGGTCACACGGTCAAGAAACCGATAAAATGTTCTGCCCCGAAGTATATTGACTATCTCATGACATGGGTGCAAGACCAGCTTGACGACGAGACATTGTTTCCATCCAAAATCGGTAAGACGATATTTTTAAAAAAATGCATAAGTAGCTGTAAAAAGTTGTTCTCGTTGTAAAATGTTAATTATTGTTTCATCAGGTGTTCCATTTCCCAAAAATTTTCTTTCCATTGCAAAGACTATACTGAAGCGGCTTTTCCGGGTTTACGCGCACATCTACCACCAACACTTTAGCGAAGTAGTTCAACTTGGCGAAGAAGCGCATTTAAATACTTCATTCAAACACTTTATTTTTTTTGTCCAGGTAAGTGTTTTGTCGTTAGTATTTTAACGAGTTACAAAGAAAATTACGAGCGTTGCTTATGGTTATTTCGTACTTTCAGGAGTTTAACTTGATCGAACGACGAGAGCTGGCTCCTTTACAGGAGCTTATAGAAAAGTTGACTGCGAAAGAGGCGCGGTGTCCATGAGCATCAGATGAGGAGAGAACAATGCGTGGAGAGTCTAGATGAACCGATGCACTGTGAATAAACCCCTCCAAAGAATCTCTTATCCCCACATCAGTATACACGCCCCCGCGTCCCTGCTGAGTATGATTACACTTCGTCGTAATTCCATACGGATATTATTTGAAAGAAAAAAAAAAGAACCTAATTTTTCCATGGCTTTGCTCTTGCCACACACACAAGTGCAGAAGCAAGGGTTGTTTATTGACGATTTGTTTGAGCCAAACATCATTCAACGCCCAAATTTTAAACTCATTTGCATATCGACAATTTGCCCTATAAATATACCTATTTTCAAAGTGCGTCCACTTGGAATGGAAGCTTTCATCAAAGTGCATTATGTAACAAGTCAAATTTTTTCAAAGACGTCTTCTTCCAAGGAAGATATTGCTGTGCAAGGAATTTTTTGTGTGAATTTTTAGCACTGCATCAAAGACAGAATAAGTGTTGAACGATAGCGGACGAGATTATCATGTCAAGAGAGTACAGGATACAGAAAGTGAACAGTGAGTGTGAATTTTACATGTTTTTACGATTTTACACTGAGATGAACGAAGAGTGAAAATGTTGACGACTGATACGGAAATATCCCGACAATGTATTTCACCAATGCATTTTTCTGCTCTATGTTTTTTTTGCGATTTAATACCTTTTATGAACATGAAGTTTTCGTTTGAATTTTATCTGTTCCATTTTTAACGATGGTATGAAGTACATAGAATTGTTCGAAGGAAATGCGTCATGCCGTAGGTACAAAAAAATCGTCGTACCCCTTACGTCAAAAAAATAACGTATATGACCTTTTTTTTATTCCCGGAACTCGTTTTTTCAATCGAATCCGATTTTTGATTGAACAAGTTATTTTTATAAACTTTAATTACCTTAATGACTGCTATGATCAAGAAACTTTTAAACTAGAAGAAGTCATGTTAAGAAAAGCGATACAAAATTTTTTTAAGCTATTCTCATGAAGAGTTACTGGATATTATCACCTTTTTAGGCATATTGCCTGTGAATGATTGTGTTACGTAGGGAAGAAATTGTAATAATTTAAAAATATTCAAATTATTGGCCATTTTTGAATTTTTTTAAAATGTTTAATTTTATTTATGTATATTACAAAATTTACGAGAAAAACTCTTTTTCTCGTGTATTTATAGACTGTAGATATATTACCAATCACCTCTAGATTTGACGTTATTTTATTGATTTTATAAGAATTTTATATTTGTTTTCGACAAACTTTTAGTAAAAGAAATTACCTTTTTAATTTTATTTTAACGCAAATACAAAACTCTCTCTTTTGAATTTGCATTTAATGTACATAAAATTATATTTCTGACTACATGACATTCATTTTAAGCTTATGATATAACACGAAAGCTTGACAAAAAAAAACTATCATGTTAAATACTGCTAATATTGATTTTTTTACAAAACGAAATGTTAAGCTATCAAACTTTTTTTACAAATCATGAAATCTAGTATGAATACAGCGGTGTATCAAAAACCGATTTAAAAACGCGTATAAAAATATATATATTTCATTCACCTTGCTATTTAATCGATGTCTCGCGTAAACGTTTAAGAGACTGTAGCTGAATCGCTTTTCTAGGAAAAGGCGATAAATGCCTTCACAAAAATGAAATAACAAACAAACGAACTTATCGCTTAAGTAAAAAGCTCACTTGAGCTTTACATAATAATTTCGCCGTACCATATTGTAATGCCAAACACCTTCTTTCTTCGACATTACCTGAAAATATCGTATAAGTAGGCGAGAGATTGAAAAACTATTCTTCATTCAGAGGTGAGATATGTAAATGTGTAATAGAAGGGACTGTGTTTAATAAATTTTAGTTGTTTATTTTTACCTTGTCGGCAGTCCGTTCGTGGTGACGTTGCCTTAAAAAAGGACCACTTTGAAGAATTGTTTTTCTTTTTCTAAGAGCTAAAAAAAATCGTAAATATTTTGAAAATACGAAAAAATCTACAACTCGTTGACAGTACGTGCAACTTAAGAGAAATAAGTTTGACCAAATATTTTCTCGAGAATTCTTTGCATTAGCAAAGGTGTAGTCATGCAAACTGTAAAGATATTTTTATTACACGTATGGTATCACGAAGCCTTGGATTACTTTCGATAAATTTAGGATTCATGCTCGAAAGAATGCTTTCTTGGGATGCAGCTGTGCGTCCTACTTGTGAGATTTTTTTAAAAAAAATTTTGTTTCTTTACAAAATTTGTTTCGTTTTGCTATGAATTTTTTTTTTATTGTAACTTGCTCTGGATCTGAGAAAAAGTCATATATTGCGATTCGCATTGGATTGCAGGAAAAAGGTAGCGTGCGTTTAATATTTGTAAGTACTTAACAAATCAAACAAAATAAATGGAATGAATCGTCTAAATTAAACGTTTACATAACGTTAAAATATTAATAACGCTATATCAGTAATCTATAAGTTAGGAATATTTTTAATTGATTGTAAATTGCTAGATTTGTCTGAAAGCAAGTAAATCAGTTTTGAAAATTGACTTTTCATAGTTTGATAATATTGTATTACAATAAATACGGCGCTTTTTAAAATTACCATGAAAACGAGGTGCTCCATGGAGAAACGACATTTGTTGACCTGTAAAATATATAAAGAAAACGTAAAAAGAAAACTTATTTATTAAAACCGAATTACAATCTTAATGATAATGCTTTTCTTCCATTCACATTTTCCCTTGCGAATTAAAAGTAGATGAAAGAATATAAAAAAAAAAAAAATAAAAAAAAAATAATGAAAGAGAGAAACAGTATTCGATGAGACATAAGAAGAGCAATGTGTGTCCGACCTGGCTCGTGTATTTTTTCAGCTATCGAGTGCATATATTTTTCCAATAATGAATTGAAATAGTTAATATTTAAGCAAGTAATTTAGCAAAATTGAAAACAATAAACAAACAAACAAGTGATAACAAAACAATTAATGTGTAAAAAAAAAAAAAAAAGATAACTTTGTAATAAAAAGTGACTGCGCGCTAAATGACATCTGGTCGCTGGTCGTCGTGACGAGAAAGTTCTTCTTTTTCCCGAAAGCGTTACGATCGTGTGGAAAAGTCGTGCCAGAGGCAAACATGTAAATAGTATTTTTTCCAAATAAACGAAAACTCGATGTAATCATGAAGCTCAACGTTTGGTACATCAATTTCAATCCTCGGTTCAAAAAAAAAATTTTTAAACTCACCTTCAATGTTGATATGTTGTAGGTTCATGGTAAAGAATAACGTTAAACTTTTTACAAAAATTAAGTTTATTCGTCAATTTTATAGATATACACCTGTTATGTAGAAAGTATTCATCATTATTTCTTTCAGCTTCGCTTGTTTATTTAGTGAGGGACAGCTCGCCGATTCAACCAACAACCAATTTGACAGTAAACATTCAACTTTGTGCTCGTTGCTTACATCGAAGTGCACATGTTCAAGAAAAGTCAACAAGCACAAAGTTTTTGAGAAAAAATTTTGCAATGTAGATGATCAACAAATACAATCGTCGAGGCGTCCCAATAAAATTCATCTTTTTTTGTTATTTTAATTATGTTTTATATAATATAACCACTTGAAGGCATTATACATGCATGTGTATACTTTTCTTGGAATTATTTTCTTTTAATAACCATCGCAATATCATCGTTTCCATTGTAATAAGTAATATTTAATTTTATCTGATCGTTCTTTTTATCAGAATTCAAAAACTCTAGTTTTACAATATAACGTCATATACATCTCAAATTTTCTTCTTATTTTATTTAAACATCTTTAAACATTTAAACAATCTTTTTCCACTTTTGTTTTTTTTTTTTTTTTTTTTTTTCTTTATCGTTTATTTACTCTTTATGTAATAGCATATGCACAATAATCAATATTTTTTAACCGCAAGTGCGCGCAAGTAATTTTATTTTTTATTTTTCGTTGGGCACACTTTTTGTAGAGACAATTATGTAGTCATATATCCGGAAGTAAAAGAGTATTTCATCGAATAATTTATCATGCTTTATTTTCTCATTTGCCTTCTCTGCTAAACGATAAATTTTTATTCACATTTTTTTTATTTTTTTTTTACGATTTTCTACCTTCTTAAGACAACTTTTTTTTGTCAACTATGCACTAAGAGTACTATATGACATTCGATTGTGGCAGTTGAAAAATCCCGGAAAAAATATACAAACTTAATGCTCATGTGTTATCGCTCGTCGTTTTATTCATAATTATTATTTGATCTTTGTGTCTGAATAAGTGCGCATATAGTTTTCCGGGTCGAGATTTCTCGTTTGATTGGCCAATCATTATTAAATTATTTGGAACTATTTCCTTATGGAAACAAACTATTGACCTGTTTCGTTTGATAAACACAGTTTTCATCAGAGTTAGGCTTATTTAAATTATCAATCGTTTAGATTTTTTTTTAAATGTATTTAGACAGTGCAATTTGATTGATTGAAAAAATACAATGTATATTTTCAATATGTAGAGTTTAGTGGATGTCATTTTGGCTTCGAATGAACACTGACTTTGTTGTGGTGGCAGTATTAGTATCGATTCGTGCACTTGATTTCAAAATTTTTAATTATTAATATACGTTTGAAATAAAATATTTTGATGATTTTATAAAAAAAAAATTTGGTAAGTAACAGTATATCGAAGTTCTACGTACATTAAAGATTTTTGCAAGTTTTTTCATTCAGATTTCGAAACGTGAATTACCTTGTATTTGCGGGTGCAATTTTTTCTTTTATACCGTATAAAATGTAGAAAAAGAAAAACTGGTTATTCAAAACTTTTTATTGTGGATACACATTACTTTAAAACCGTTTACAAAAATTCAGTTGTAGGTCTAATATTTACTTAATAATAAAACTATCTTAATGGCAATGAATAAGTAGAATTTTTGACAAAAATATCTGTAGTAATGCAAAGTTTATAACATATGATTTTTTAAATTCTACTTTGATATATTTGTGTGCATCTTCTTGAGAAAAAATAGACGAAAGTACATGTCGATCTTGAACGAGCATACTTACTTTCCACATATTACTTTCTTACTTTATTTTTCGCTCTTCATCCAAGTGGTCGCTCGTATTATTGAAAATTCAAATTTTCCAATAGTTTATTTTCCATAAGGACACGTGTGACGTGCTACAATTTGACACGATCGATGGAATGTCGACTAAATAATTCACGATGCATTATTTGCCAGTAAGTTTGTTTTCTTCGTTGTGATACTATATCGTTAAAATTCCATTTTATTTTTTAATCTAAAGTACTTGAGGCTTTCTATAAATGTTCAGTACGAATATTAGAATATGTGTATGTTGTTATTTTGAGATTGTGTGAGTTTATCAATTTCCAATGTGTAGCGTGTAGCACATTTAAAATACGATTCTTAACAGTCCCGTATCTTTTAACATTATATTAAACCTTATGTCATTGTTATATTTTAATTTTTTGTTTTCTGTACGAGATACGAATCTATGAATTACATTATTTTTTTTTACTTTTTATTTATCAAAAAAAAGGCTTTCCTATATAAACTTTATGACTTACAGCAAAAATGTCATTCTGTAGGAATATCATATCTTGTCATTTTTCATGGGTACATATTTATATTTTATCATCTCTAATCATCGATTTTTAATTCTTTTAGATACTTTTCTTCTTTCTTCAAGCACACCTTGCGATAATTTTTCAAAAAAAATATATTTGAAATCTTGTTTGGTCATTCATTAAAACTAAACCAACGATAAAAGCAGGAAGTGATGAATTAGTCAATCAAAACAATTCGCTTGCATCGGCTTTTTCTTTTTCCGATATCTCCCTTTTCTCTTCCAATAAAATATATATCGTACCTTATTTGCAATATCATTTAAATGTTACTTATACACGTTTCTTAATTCAACTATCACCACGCTTGTGTACACATAGATTATTTTTGTATCATTCCCCTTTCTTAAATGCAGTTTATTTTGTTCAACAAACCAAATACTATAACATATATTCTAGCAGTAGTTTATTTTCCTTTTTTTTACTTAAAGTATTATTATATTAAGATTAATTATAAAAAAATCATATGACCATCTGACAGCCACTTCACAGTCATACGATGCATTAATTATGCTGCTGAGATCGATTCGTTAATTACTTTGTTACTGATTTTCGATATTTTATCGTGATTGTAGAACCACCACATTTTCACATCGTTGCTTTGAATTGCTAAGTAAAAAAATTCAGTCAATATTTCAATTATTATCGTTAAATTAAAGCACTTGAATATATTTTACACATAAGACAAATGAATATTTTAACAACGTTCATCCACATGAAAATTTTTTTTCTACAACATTTTGATAAAGACAGCAAATTTTATAACAATAGATAGTAAACTTAACTTTAATTGATTTTAGCAATAAAATCTTTGGCATAAGAAATTGCAACTTTTTATATAATAAGAGTAAATTTTTGGCAAATTCAAGAAAATGATCCATAGATCCTTAGTGCCACATAAACAATTACTATCGTATAAACTATTTATAAAACCAGTATGATGCTACATATAATAGTAATATAAAAAAAATTTTTTTTTCAATTTTCTTATGGTGGCACTTGTATAATTCAGACGCATTTTGAGCTCTACATATATAATAATTAATAATACTGATTCTTATGCTAAACATACTTAAAAATCTCAATAAGGATGTTTTTTATGACCGCGTTACTTACTGATGGGTTAACATGTTTATAACATTAGAATAAACTCAAATAGGAATTCCATTTGACGAGGAAGACCAAAAATTATTGTAATGCTTTTTGCTGTTGTTCATTTTTAAACGGGGAATTTAATCCATGACTTATCAACACCGATTTATTTTTATTCGTCTTCCACACTGCGCAATGCATTATTCACCTATAATTTTTTTTTAACATTATTATAAATATTCATCTCATCACTCAGTGGTATAATATGTGCACGATTTGGACGCTCAAACTCTATGCTGAGAAAAATGATTTTCAAATCTATTTAAAAAAATAAAACATTTTAAGTATGAATACCTGAGTGATTGTAATGTTTTTTAAATTTCCAAGAAAAATCATTATATTATAAACATGAAAAGTATGAAAAAAAAAAAAAAAATTGTAGTTAAAAATAACTAAACCCATTAAAATATTCGATTATGTAAAATCATTTTTCCGCGTGAGCTTTAATTATTGAGTTTCTCGTATCTATACACGTATAAATCACAAGTATAGAACATATGTTTAAATTACTGCATCTATACGTAAGTATTTTACTTATAGGTATATGCGTGTACTTTGGATATTTCGTATCATCTATTTATTAATTTTT